GGCGGGAGGGCTCGGCCCAGCTGGTTAAAGCAGGGCTAATTAAAGCTCGGGTTTTAAAGAAGAGACGTTGTTATTATTATTAGAGAATTACGGCGTTATTCGTGCTGTGAGCGATACGCAAAACAAGATTTCTCGGGATGCCCTCCTAGTTCTCTGCTCACAAGTTCTGACCACGCATTTTATCTCAAATCAATAATTTGTCTCATTAATTCTCTAATTATTCTTTTATGAACATCTGTTTTTTCACGAATACCCATTTTTAGCCATAGGTATTCACAGGAGGATTAGAACATCATATACAAATGAAAATGAAATTTAAGTAGCATTTTCCTTCCTGCTTTATACAAGTAATGTGTTTCCTAGCAAAGTAAAATGCCATATTCTTTTATAGTAAATGTGTAGAACATTTGACTATTTGCACTAGTATGTCTCCAGAACTGCTTTCAAAGCAGTATCATGTTACAGACATGTCAGAACTGAGCTAACACACAGGTGTTGTACACGGTTTGTTCAGTCTGTAACTGGCATTAGATTCACTTCTGTTTGTTTTTGGTTTGAATAGCTGGAAATGAGTATCATCATTTGCAAATGCAATCGAAGAGGGCAAAGCTGGAGATGTGGAGGACATCCTACAACTCAGCGTGTGAGGATGTCTGCACACAGCCAGACACCAATCCTTGTGCCACTTCAAGGACTTTGTATCCATGTTCAGCCAGTGCTTTCCTCTAAAGGGGGATGAATCAGGCAACTATGTTGAGGCTGTATGACATTTGGATCAGCTTTTATAGATATGTTTATGCATTTCATAGTATATCTCTTTTCCCACAATCTTGGCTTCTTTAATTCCAGGATGTAAAACAGTTCTGCATGCATGGCTTTATACTTAGCAGGTAATTCACCTGAATTCCACAGGACTGCTCATGTTTGCCAACATACACGTTTGTACAGTGCTTACCCCTGCCTTGTCTCAGTCTGCACTGTGGGTTTGGAATGTACTTCTTCAGTGTGAATATGAAAATAGATTAAATCAAAGTTGGCAGAGTATGTGCCATTTAACTTGGATCCTGTTTGTGAACCCCTGTATTCTCTAGAGGCATCTCATTCTCTCTGTTCATTACATGAGGAGATTTGGGTCTAATCTTTGTTTCAGAATACTTCCTTACCCACTAGAAATTGCATTTTTCACCACCATGGCTTGACTGAAAAGTGTGAATATAACTACTCATGGATCGAATTTCACACTGGTTTGTGACTTGGTAATCCTGCCAAAGTATGTCCATTTTAAAGATCTGATGGTTGAAAAATCATAATTCCTTGTTGTGTACTTTGGACTGTTTGAGATATCAAAAATATGTAGCATTTTTATGGGCAGGACTTTGCTACCATCTTTCAAAGCTGCAGTGAACAGCCTGTTGTATACAGCCATGGGTGGTTTAGTTGGTTTCCATATGGTCCTTGAGCCCAGCAGGCAAAGGAGAGAAAAAAAAGAAACAAAAATCTACTGTAAAACTTGAGCAATATTCAGGGAGGGTTTGACTAGATGTGTACTGAGCTGATGCTACTTTTATCTCTTTCAAATGATCTAGATTAAAAACAGAAAAAAATCCCTGCAATACTGAGTAAAGATGTACCTGCAGTTAGGATTAGAAATGTGTCTAGGTTTAGATTTCAGCATTTTAAGCAGAGTGCAGCACAGCTTGACATGGTCCTATGCAGATTAGTGATTTCATTGAAATTCACAAAAGAAATGTTTACTGCACTAAGAATTTTGTCTTCAAATAACAAATATTCCAGGGAAACAAAGTATAGTTTTAGAAGAATAGAGACAGTATACTTACTCCTCCTGAGTAAGTAAAACTAGTACATAAGTTTTATACTTGATGATTTGGTAGAACGTAACAGTTTGTCTTCACTTGCTGGAAGCAGAATTTTAAGTAATTTTATTTGTGATTTCAGGATCATGTCTAATTGATCAAGATGGAAACCTGTTTAAGTATCTTTTGGATTATCTTCATGGAGAAGTTCTGATTCCTGGAGATAACAAATTTGAACTGCACTGCAGGAGGAAGCAGATAATTTTGGAATCCCTTATCCATACATTCTGCCTGACCATTTGGCCAATGGTCCAATATAGAACTTTAAAAGGTCTTGACATTTCTTACATTTTTGAAGTTGTACTCTAACCTGCACCAGTCATTAGCATCAGATACCAAAACTGTAGTATATGCAAGTTAGCACTTAACACACTAAATCATGAATGAATTCAGAGTTAAATCTAAGCTAAGAGATCCTGAAGTTGACAATGCAGTCATAGTAGTTAAGGATATCAGCTTTTCCCATCATTGCAATACCACAGCAGTTTAAACTTGACTCTGTGTTACAAGCAAATTGTCTGTAAACCTTAGGTAGTAGGAATGACATTGCTTAGTTCCCTATTTGGCTTAACATTTTACTTGAGATTAGATTTGATCTCTTCAAGATGTTTGGGTTGGTTTTCAGTTTCACAAATTCATCCTAAAACTCTAAAGACAAAATGTACTTTGACATTTTTTTAGAACAAGAAAGGAGAAAAGAAAATTACTGTACTATTTAAAATCCTAAGGTTTGTCAATTTTAGAGTATTGTAACTTCAAAGCCAGTACTAATTAACTGACTGGAAATTAACCCATATTACCAAATCTGGCTGTGTTAGTCCTAACAGTAATCTATGTTCTCTTAGTAAGTTATTATTCCATGTATTTCACATTCTCCCTTACTAGTTTTCTTTTAAGAAACAAAGCTTTTCCAGGTCTTTCAGTTTCTCTCCATATTAAGGAGCTGCCATGCCTTTAAGTATTTCTCTTGCCTTTCTGTGAATTTCTCTTAGTTTCACAACATTCTCTGTTAACATCAGATAAGAAATACTGCACACATCCTTCTAGAAAAATGGTATCCTTGATTTACTTAAAAGTGCTCACCAGTACAGTTAGAAAACTTAAATACGGAATCTTACCAACTAAAAATACTGACTTCTTACTAATTTTCTGTATTTTTGGGTTATGTTTTTTCCAGGCTTTGTTAGATTTCTGTGAGTCTTATTATTTAGTTTGTACCAAGCCTACAGTGTGGGTCCTGCACTGCCTCAACACCTCTGGAGCAAGCTGTGAAAGTAAAACCATTGGTGCATATGCCACAAGAGCTGATGGGACTGATGCAATTACTAAGGTGCTAGGAAGGAAAATTCATAGTGAAAGCATGTGCAAAAGGTACAGTGACTGACAAACACATGAAAGCACTATGAAGTGAGTAAATACATAATTATGCCTAAATATTATCACATGTAGCATAATGTAGTATTATTGTACTATAAATCTGTGAAAGGAATCAGATTCTTTCCAGCTTCAAAAACAGCTAATACAACGCCCACATTAAACAAACAAGGTAAAAACTAAGCATGGAGCACAAGAATTTGAGACAGTCCACACAAGGAGGCTAACGTAGTTGCTCTAAGTTCTCATAATGTTTTGTTATTTTTAAGATGTCTCAACAATTTAAAATTACTTTCTAATTTAGGCTGATGTTTACACTAAATACAGCAAATAAATCCCTATCCAGGAAGATGTTCCAGAAATATTTGTGAAGTTGGGTGTTACTCACACAGGTGTGTTCTGCTGAACACTGAGAGCTGATGATGAAAGGAAGTGGTTTTAGTTCTTTAAAGAATGTGTACATCTCTACTACACTAGTAATGTGTTTTTATGGCAGTAGTTCAAAGTTATTGGTAGACCTGTACTTTCAGTGTCAGAAATGTACTTCCCTTTGTATCTTTTGGTTAAGATAGAGCTTTGGATGTTTCATCACCTTTATAATTAAGATGCGTATTTTCCTAAGTTTAGGCTGGGAACATTAGTATTTATTCCAAGAGTATGTGAAAACATAGTGTCAGGTATCTGTCCTCCTACCGTGTTTTCCCTTTGAATAAATGAATGAGATCTAGAAGAATAGATTTTACATCATTAATTCTGTACTTATTCTTTTATGAACATCTATTCTTTCATGAATATCCATTTTTAGGACTAGGTATTCCCAGGAGGATTAGAACATGAATGAAAAAATTTGTCACATAACCATTACTTTTAAAACATTTCTAGAGAAGCTGGAAATAACGTCCAGTATATCTGGAGCTATTACTCAGCAGCTGAGCTGAAAAAGATGCTGGATGCTTTCAAGGCCTGGGAAGGGAGGGGTAGAGTATTAACTTTTTATTTCAGTAGTACTATATTTTAACAGAAAAATAAGAAAAATGTTTGTCAATTCACTATAATAAAAACTCTGCACACACTTTCAGTCATTCAGTAACATTGTAAAATACCCCACAGTAGCGGCTGTTTGGGTGAGGGGGGAAGTCTTAAGGGATGTTCTAACTAGGAGACATGAGTTGACATGAATGAAGAAGTACACTGGCTGTAAGCAGTGCTCATGTCAGCAGTTTTAGAGCTGAAGTTCTACATAATAAAATACCCATGTTCATCTAGTCAGGTGTATACACATGATACTGGCTGTGTTCTCTCAGCTCACCCATATGATGTGGCTTTGAAACTCAGGTGTGAGCTACTGGAGAGAGCCTCAGGGGCTAACTGAATGTTGGACCCTTGAAGAACACCCTCTGAAAGGCAGTTTGCATCATATGCCCGCAGTTTATGAAAGGTATGCTGATTTGCATAGGTAGCTTAAAATTAAGCACAAATACAGTGCAATCTTCCCACCACCCCATAATTTCAGGTTCTTTAAATAGCTATGGATGTTGAGTTTTCCCTGGTTTTTTTTACATTTTCATAAAATGTGTTATAGGGCTTAATTGCAGAACTGAACTTGCTAGAAACAAATGACTATTTTTTAGGCTGCTGAAGACTTCTCAGCAGGGAGTAATTTTAAAAAGTAGAGAGCAGTATTAGTTACATGGACTGTTAAAACTGACATTTAACTGAAAACTTCAAGAGGTTGAGTGATTTTCACATGTGAGATGCCTTCTTTTTAGAAGGAATTTCTAGAATTTTTTCTCTGTTTTATGGTGATACTTTTGACTACACCTCTTTTCAATACATTACCTAAGACCAGCCTTTTGCCTGAGCCACCCTGCAGCCACTTTGCTGCTATAGTTTTCAACGTGTCATCTTACAGAGGTAGAAGAGACTGATGGTACTATTCACAGAAAGGCAAGCCTGACTGCACTGCTGAACTGCTGGTAGTGTCACAAGCAAAAGTTAAAAGAACATCATATTTGTGGATGGCTGTCACAGATTGTCTGTTTGGTAATAATGTTATAGAAAGAATAATTTATGTATATAGTTCATTTCTTTAAAGCTCTTTGTTTTACACTCAATTGACTATACTGAAGAGGAAGACTATTTACCATGTAAAGTGGGTCCCAAGCCATTTAGATTCTCAGGTCCCTCAACAAATACCCATATCAAAGTAAAAAATACAGCTTCAATAAAGGTATCTGCTTGCACTGCTTCACATTCTGCAGCAACTCTTAAACAGCCCAATAGCAAAAGTTTGACCCTGTATAAAGAAGCTTCTGAAACTGTATCCACAGCATGCACATCTGTGCCCAGCAATTCCCAGGAGCCCCGTGGAAGGCAGAGTGCTGGCAATGGGACACCAAGCCAAATGACATTTAAGATTGCAGTGACTAAGAAGCCTGTAAACAACTGTGTAGTGAAGCTCAAACGAACTCCACTTTCTTGGGACACCATCTCAGCCACCTTCTTCTGTACCCAGTAAAACAAGTGAACAGGACAGTGCTGCTGTTGAAATTCCTACTACTTCTACGGTACTAAACAAGAAAGAACCAGCTGTATTAGCAGAGAGTATTAAGGGTAAGAATGATAAAGTGGATGGATAATGTCTGACTCAGCCCGAGAGACTGCACAGCTTTGCATCATCTGGTCAGAGATCATCATCTCATGTCATCATTTATTCACACATTTTGTAGAAAATTTAGATGAAAAATTTCATGGAAAGCACATGAAGGAATTAAGTGAACACTGAAGCATGTTTTCTGCTTTATTTCTAAATATTTTTTAGATGGTGGGAAGAAGGAAGAAAAATGGATTAAATAACCCCCTCAGACACAGAGCACATGCAGTCCAACATTCCAGTGTCTTGTATTTGTATTTCTGTTGGCCTATACTTCAAAGGGGAGTACATGCACAACATAAAAGAAGATCTCTTTATCAGCTTTAACTGCAGTTAACGTTAACTAGAATTAACTTTATTTGTACCTTTAAAGTGGAAGAAAATAGATAAAAATAAGTGGGCTTTATTAGATACAAGTTTGCCACAGGTTTGCAACATACCAAGTACGTTAAAGACCTCCACACATTGAATGCACTTACTGGTATTTCTGGTGAGGGTGAATCACCATTTTTGTTATTAACAGCAACGAAAGGGACCAGCTTTGCTTATACAGTGAGAAAATTCAGAAATACAGGAAGGGAAGAGTATGCCTTGGGAGTAACAAGGCTGCTTTTTTTTTTTCCAGAGACATACATGTACTACTTTCCCAAAGTGGTTTGATCTGCCACTGAGGCAATGCTGCTGCAGCCTGGGCATTTTGTGTCACTCCACTGTGGGGTGGCTTTTCTGGAGCTGCAGGGAATCTCATGGGTCTGAGTTATAGCTGGCCCTCCTGTGTCTTTCTGCAGTCCTTTCAAATTAGGAGGGGACAACTTTCTGTGCAGCAAACCATGGAAGTTGAGGTTGGAGGCGCCCTGGTTTGAAGAAAGATAAAAGACCCCTTCCTTCCCCCCGAGCAGGCTAGAGGAGACATTATTGTACCAGTGCAGATGTTGAGTCATGACACTAAAATGAAGAGCTGCTGTATGTTTCTCTCAGCAGAGGGAAGGTGAATTTGGTTCATTAATTTTAAAGAGCCCTTTTAGTTGTTAAAATCAGTGAACAAAACCTCTCTTTGTTTTGCAGCCTTGCTTACAGTCGGGTGCTGAGGTTTGTTGCTGGTTTTACGACTGCTCTTGCTTTACTAGCACAGTAAATACAGCTGTCGCTGAACACTGAGAACATTGCCAAAATGCAATGTTCTTAAAATTCCTGAGACTATTAGAATTACAGAATGGTTCTTTAAATGTTTTATTTTCTAGATAATTTAGAAACCATCACATTTTCAGGCTTTTCTCCTAACCACAAGGCCTTGAAACATGATTTGCACAAGTAAAAATCCCACTTTTTCATGCGCTAACATATTTTTAAGGAGACAACTTTGCCATGAACAGTAGTCACTGTAAAGGTGTACAGTACTGTAATTTGTAATTACATCCCTTACAGTGAGATTACAGGTCAAACTGTAAGGCAGCAGATAAATTCTGAAAAGCTGCCTCTGATGGGTGTGCACAACAAATTCTGGACTTTCAGTTCCAACTACTCAAAAACATTCAGCTTAAGAGTGTGATAGGTAATTAACAGAATAAAAGCAGTGCTTGTAAGGCTAAGAAAGTCAGTGTCTACCTATTCATGTTTATTTTTCTTTCACTACCCTTTCAGATCAATATGAGTTATTTGCCTTCTGACATAATTTTTTTCCAATATTCACATGTGGGAAACTGTATACAGGTATAAAGAGAAACAAAACTTAGAGTGAGGAATGCACCTCACTCTACACTTTGAGATTATTTTTCAAGGGCCAGAGAGGAACAGTAAACCAGTCAGTACTAAAGACATGTGCAGACAATGAACAGGAATTAGACAGAGGAAACTGGTAACAAGCAATAGCAAACAATAACCTAGGCATAAACTTTTAAAGATACTCAAGTGTGTGTGTCCTCCTGCTCTTCTGATGTCCTACTCAGCTGAACACCTCCCACTGACACCAGCTGAACTAAGCAAATACAATTTGCATAAGATCACAAAGGGTAGGCACTGCAAAGCAGCAAACACCAGGATATTTTAAAAAGGAGATTTTAATTTTTTTGAAGAAACAGTTTTTCTGAAATACAGAACTGGAACACTAAGACTAAGTAATTTATTAGTCATAGCTCCCATTATGGACAGATGGTTCCTACCGCAAAAATATAGAAAAATAATTTGAATTCAAGTCTAGAAGACCTGCAACTTTTCATATGCAAAAAAATAAATCCAACTGATCATAGAAAAGTGGCTGATAAGGATGGAGAACAGGGCTGTGCATCTGAATAGCCATTACTATATACATTCCAAACTTAAATGAGGATATTTCCTCAGCCTCACAAAAATAGCTTGTCAATGAAAAATACCAATATGCAATACATTTAATACAATTTATACTTGAATTTAAAGATCTCAGATTATGGAATAATAAATGAAAATCAAATGAACTGCTTTTTTGGCTGTTCTTGTATATAATAATACTCTGTGTATACAGTGTGCATGTATGTACATGTATACATGCACAGAAAGAAAGAGGTGTATAGAGATTTGCTGAAAAATTGTACAAGATTATCTGATTTCACTGCAGCATACAGACTTCCTGGGATCCTTCTAACACAGGCTCTTCTATAAAATAATAATGTTGACAGGTATAACCACGTATCTACAACAGTTTTTTTTCTATGATGAATTTAATTATCAATTTATTTTTCCAATCTAAGTATCATTTTTCTAAGAAGTAAATGCTGCTTTGGTAAGATTCTGTACTGTCACGACAAAATAACTGCGAGTATATTGGGGAAAGCCTTGAAAGTATGAATTAATTTTGATCATTAGTAAGTAACAAAGCTACCAACAAGTTTTAAGTAGCAACAGATTTAAAAGACTATGTACTGACTTTTTTTTCCACCAATAAGCATTTCCAGCAAGAAACTAGAATGAACAGATTAAATTTCTCTGCCTGCCATCACTGTGACATTTTAAGCCACCAGAGTCACAGCTGGCACTGAAAGAACAGTGGCATCAGCAGAGACCTCCATCCTTGCAGGACATAAATTACATTGTGATGCCCTTCTAACACTGCCTTGGAAAGGCTTGTGCTCCGTGGTGTCTGGTGTATGATGCTTCCGTCGGGTCTTCTCGGAATGTGTTGTGTTCTCTGTGGTCCTTGTAGTTGTAGACTGCTCTTGATTTTTCAGAGCTCCTTTATTTTTACATCTGAAGCTGTTATGCTGCTGTCTTCTGTGCTCATACCTGGAACCACTCTTTGTACTTTGATCTGCCTCATTACCGGCACCTTGTGACTTAAGAGATCCACTGAGCCGCATGTTTTGGTGCTGTGGGTTGAATCTTCGTCTCTGGCTAGAAGGCCCATTCTACCCAAAAAGAAATTGGGTAACTGTTAGGTTATCTGAATCCTTTCAACAGGACAAGAAATACAGCAAGCAGAATTAAAAGTGTAACTAGGAGAGGTGAAACACTATACAGTTTCGGTTGTTACCAGAGTTTTCTAATTATAACACTTAAAAACTGAACTAGGTATCATTCTACATCTGAATAGCCTGAAAATTTAGATGGCAGGTTCACCATCGATGCCAAATGAAATCTGCTATGATTCAAGAGAACACAGAAAAGGGGATGAAATACTAGACATCTCAACAGCAGCTGTTGAGGAAAGAGACCTGCAGGTTCTGATCAACAGAAGTTGAATATGAGGGTGCCCTGGCAGCCAAAAGGGCCAACTGTATTCTGGGGTGCATCACCAGCTGGTCCAAGGAGGGTATTGTCCCACTCTGCTCTGCACTGGTACTCTGGCACCTCACCTTGAGCACTGTGTGCAGTTTCAGGTGCCAGGATATGAGAAAAATATAAAATCATTAGAGAGCATCCAAAGGAGAGCTATGAAGACAGGGAAAGGTCTAGAGGGGAAGCCGTATGAGGAGTGGCTGAAGTCACTTGGTTTGTTCAGCCTGGAGAAGAACAGACTGAAGAGGGACCTCACTGGGGTCTACAGCTTCCTCACAAGGGGCAGCAGAGGGACAGCCACTGATCTGTCCCCCCTGGTGACCAGTGACAGGACCTGAGGGAATGGCATGAAGCTGTGTTAGGGGAGGTTGAAGTTAGATATTTGGAAAAGGTTCTTCCCCCAAAGGGTGGCAGTTTGTTCAGCCTGGAGAAGAACAGACTGAAGAGGGACCTCACTGGGGTCTACAGCTTCCTCACAAGGGGCAGCAGAGGGACAGCCACTGATCTGTCCCCCCTGGTGACCAGTGACAGGACCTGAGGGAATGGCATGAAGCTGTGTTAGGGGAGGTTGAAGTTAGATATTTGGAAAAGGTTCTTCCCCCAAAGGGTGGCAGGGCAACAGGCTCCCCTCCCCAGGGCAGTGGTCACAGCACCAAGCTTAACAGAGTTCAAGAATTATTGACGCTCTCAGGCACATGGTGTGATTTTTGGGGCTGTCCTGTGCAGGGCCAGGAGCTGGACTTCAGTGATCCTTGTGTGTCCCTTTTGACTCAGGTTACTGTATGATTTCTCTGAGCAGTTAAGAAGCACTGAAAAACCTGATATTGATTTTTTTTCCCAAAATCATGAAAATACCTTTCCTAGCAAACTGTTCTGCAAATACTACATTAAGACTGCAGGAAGAATGGAAATTTACATGTAAGTTAAAGTCAAGTGAAGAATACACATTGTGAAAGAGACATCCATTGTGGTATTTTGCTCAGACAAAGCTTTGATCCTTAGTGGGAAGTGGCTGAAATGCTTTATTTGCATGCCTGCCAGGGCAGCTGATTCCATACACATACCGACATTATGTAATGCTATTACGTTTCCCTTCAGGTACCTACTTGAGCCCAAAATCCTTACTGGGACAAAATTCAGACCAACTTCAGTGGCAGCTTTACCTAAGCACAACAGTACAAGGACATTCTAAGGTGGTCTTAGAACAAAATAGCTACCAATATAGCACAATACTATAAGCTATATATACTTTGAAACCTGGCATGATTCCACTTTCAAAGGGCATCTAATAATCATGCTTCAATAGCACATCAACTGCCAACTTGTCAAGGATCTGGAATAAACATTTCTCCATCGTAACATACAGGGCAGTTAGCTATTACAGAGGGTTCTTTTTCAGTCTATTAACTGCTACTAGTCACTTCTGAATGCCAGACAGCAGTCTCTCCTCATATGATATTTCTATGTTCACACTGCACTGAAAATGAAGCTGGAAAATCTATACTTGCATATTTTCCAAAATCATTAATTAAATATACAGACCACAAACCAGCATGATTTTGTATTAACAACTTTCAGCACTGTATGTTTTTCTAAAAATTTTGAAGCAATTTAATTTAGTTCATAACTGGCTTCTTACCTGCTTATTTGTTGGGATTCCTTGAGAAGATTCTGGAGGATTGGAAGAAAGATGACTTTGTACTTTAATGCTGGCTGTTTTATTATCAGAGTTCTTGACATTACTAGAGGACTTTCGGGTGTGCGTATTTTGCTTGCCAGTTCCATGCGAGGTCACTGAAGACAGCACTAAACTACATGGTGTTCTTGAGGAATAATTGTTCTTTGGGTGAGAAACTGTAAAAAACAAAAAAAGAATTATGTGCTATCAGTTAAATGATCAACATCTAAATGTAAGGCTGTATTCTTACTCTGCTTACAACTAATTGGGAAGCATCATTTCAGGAAGCTTGGGTTGAAGTCAGTGTTTTACTACTGTAAAACTGCCTCATTGTGAAGCACTTCTGGAGATAAAAGAGTCAATGTGGTGGCACTGCACTAAAACTGGAAGGAGCTTGGCAGAAGGCCAGGCTCTCGTCATGCAAGAGAGCTTTTCAGAATTTGTGGCATCTGTTGGTTTGCTTGTCAACTTTTAACCAGTTAAACTGAACACGTGCTGTCCGGACTGCCCCATGCACTGCTGTCCTATCAATGATGCTCCTAACAGGAGTCTTCAGGCAAAAAAAAGGAAGAAACATGGGAAGTGAATGATATGCCAGTAACTCTTTTGATTGTTTGAGGCCAAAGGAAGTTGTGCTTGCAGACTTCACAGACTAAATTCTATTCCAAATTATTCTTTGATCACAGAACCATGGAATTACATCACTGCTGTCTATATATGTGCTAGCTACAACACAGGTAATGGCCATGAAAGCCCCTTAGAACGTCTCAACATTTTAAAGAAGAAATGAAGTCTAGTGTCTGTTGTTTATTCCTCTCTAAGGAGATGGGTAAAAAAGGTTCATCTGTGCCATGGATATCTATAAAAACTGGAACTGAATGCAATACACTATTCCAGTTCATGTAGACCATAGCAGTCTACACCATCAGGAACCACTATTGCTCATCTCAGTATATTCCTACTCCCTACTTCTTAGTATTTTGTGACTGCCTGGCAATGGCCCCCAAGCAGTCTCAAATAGGATTCTGAGGCTAATGAAGTAAAGCTCTTGATCTTAATCTGCTGTCCTGATTTTTCTTATTATGGAAATGTTCTCTTTCCTTCTGGTACAGATGACAAAACTAAGGCTCACTTCAAAGAGACACATGTTTTATCTAAGAGGTACTTCTATTGTTTCACTTTAGTACAGAGAAAGAAGATGAGCAATAATTTCAGTAACTAAACATCATCTGCTAGGTTTTTTGAGGATCCTACTCAGTTAGGTCAACATCAGCTACTTCTATGAGGTGTCCTCTTCAGAAAAAGAATGCAATGACCTGCACAATAAACTGAATTTTATCTCCTGAGTTCAATGATGCCAACTGTCACTGAATTCTAGTGCTCTCTCATCTCAAATAGACTGCTGCACATGTAAGCCTATATAAAAACCCAGATGCTTTCATAAAAACATATTTTTAACAAAAAACATGTACAAGAAAGGGATACAACCCACCACTGCGCATTCTGGACACAGCAATCCAATTATTTTTGTTTCTTCCTGTCCTTCATTATGAGTGACTGCTGCCTACCCTCTCCTCATGCTAGAACATACCTTCCTTTCCACAATCTCTGTGGGTTTGGTTATTGCTTTAGTTAAAGCCCTCAAAAGTGGCTGCTTTTAGTGATAGGCCTTGTTTAATTTGTTTGAGGGGTATTTGTAGCTCCTAGCAGGGTATGGTCTTAATTGTGAGAATAGAACAGAAAAATCTTTTGCACTGAAAAGCTCTTGTCAAAGACATCCAACATCACGAGTTGCCCATTAAGGTCACTGAGGACAGGTGAGTGCTAAGCTGTTCAGACAGTGCACTGTCAGTCACTTCTACGATGACACTGCTCCCCTACAAATAGCTGTTCTTTTGACTTCCCTAACCCGATTTCAACAGGCTGCATCAAACTATGCTTATGTAATGCTCAACGGAAGTGAGTATGCCTTAATGAAATAATTAACTTGCAGAAATAATCCTGCTGCAAGTCATTTAGGAGAGTAGTTCAATGAGTTTTAAAAAATAGTCTACGGTTGTATCAATACCAGCTGTGGTTATATTAGTCAGGATAATCTCTAAAGAATTTTCAAGCTCTTAGGCTTCAGGGTATGAGACAGGGTCTATGAGGTGACCGTAAATAATTAGCTGCATTATTGGGAAGCTAATGCCTTCCTTTGAAACATCCTGGGTTGGCTTCAGTGAGACAGGATATGGCATTAGATGGATCTTCAAAGTGTTCTGCGAAAGCAATTCTTATGGTCTAATGAGTTAAACTGGTTATGCTTCCAAGCAGTCAGTTCTTTAGCTGTGCAGTCCGAAGATCATATTAGCAGCCTGTGTAGTATTTTCTCCTTTTCTGTTTCTAGTAACTACTTGAAAACATTTATTATTTTCCTTGCACCAAGATGCACTAGTTCAGTATTGTTTTAACAGTTTTCTCCTGAAGGATGGTACTGATGGGATACCATGGGACAGGGTAACATTTTGGACAAAACATTATAGCATGTACTTTTATTTGGGGAAAAAAGCATGACAAAGATGAGAAACAGGCTACCTTGTATTTTGCAACAGGGACATGACACTTGAAGGAAAAACATGAACCTGAATTTGCAATTAGAAGAGCAGATGATTTGGAAACAGATGCCTAGAGAAGAGGAGGCTGAAGGGAGACCTTACTGCTCTCTACAACTACAGGAAATGAGCTTGTAGCAATGGGGGAAATCAGTCTCTTCTTCCAGGTTACAAGTGACAGGATGAGAGGAAATGGCATCAAGCTGAACCGTAGAGGTGTATATTAGATATTAGGAAAAATTTCTTCATGGAAAGGGTTGTCAAGCATTGGAACAGGCTGCCCAGGGAAATGTTCAAAAAACATATGGATATGGCACTTGAGGACATGGTTTAGTGGTGAACATGGTGGGTGATGGATGGACTTAGTCATCTTAAAGGTCTTTTTCAGCCTTAATGATTCTGTGATTTGGGACTCCATTCAGTTCCTGGAAAACCCAGTGGATACTGTTATAAAGCTGGGGAGTTACTTCCTAGCAGGAGAGATCTGAATCGGTCTCATAAACATTATGCTCACAAGGAGAAGCTTCCAATTTACTATTTATTAATAAATTACTTAATTTGCATATTCCCTGAAGCTGACTTTTACTTCCTCTTGGAAATCCTGTTTAGATGGAAAACTCCAACTGATCTGAGTGATACCTGGAAATCTCTGACAAAGAGGGCACTGCGCACCTGCAGATGGACTGTGCAGCACAGGTACAGGGAGTCTAATATGCTGCATACTGTAAAGTTGACTTGTGTGTGTTCAGCAAGCCTGCTGCATCCAGAAACACCACTCATGTCAGGCTTGCTGAACACGCACACACACAGGCAGCACATATGCTGGTGGTTCTGCTGAACAAGTATGTGGAACACTATGTTCTGAGAAATTTGATCTGTAAAGTCCATTCCAGCTCCTAAAATCCTATGATTCTCTATGATTCTATGAAATTTGGTGTTAGAAATCACCAGCACTTACTTTCTCCACACTGCTGAATTTGGGTCTTCAGCTGTTCTGTATCACAGGAGAATCGGGCAGACCTGCCCAGCTCTTCATCATATTTCCGTTCACTCACAAAGTGCTGCAAAAATAGACATGTTAATAGTGACTTACATTCTGAGCAAAATACTATATGGATGGTACAGAAACCAATCAATATTTCTCATAAGTTCACTTTAAGGCTCAACAAACTCTTGGCCCTGCCATGTACACAGGATCTCTGTGCAGAACCAAGTATTTTCCCATCCTTACTAAGTTACACGTCTCACATCCCGGTCATGGGCAGATCACTCCAACACTTGGGAAGGGGACCATTTCACTGGAGAATGTGTGTTTGATCACTGAACCTCAAGGTATCAAGGTATTGTTAAATGAGTCTTATAAATAATACACAAACAGCAAAACTCTCCGCTGCTACACTTATGAGGGCCTAGCTCACCCTTCTCTGATAGCATCTATACACTAGTTACCCCTTGGCCCATAGCAGGCCATTAACAGCCTGGGCATGTTACTGTGACAGCTCTTTCTTGGCATTTCTGCAGTTAAAATACCCAAGCAGAAGTGAATGCCTGACCTTAATTTCAGCCCTGAGTTCAGACAGTTGTGCTTCAGCCATCTGACTGGCTAGGTCTGTCAGTCTCTTCAGCTCCTCAGCTTTCTTCTGCCGAGCAGTCAGGATTTCCACTGCCAAATACCAATAGTCAGTCATTAACGCCAGGAAGGTAAATTGCTTTGTAATTTATTAGTCTTTGGGCATTAACAGTGTGCATCACATGTGAGACAAACACATGGACCCCTGACTTCAACTGGACTTCCAATATGCTGCTTGCACAGATTAAGTCAATCAGCATATTTAACTGAACTGCCTGATACTGAAAAGGATCTGAAAATGGGATAGCTGTCAGAAAACCAAAGAATGTCCTTCAACATTTAGAAAATCGGGCAAACATGTTGTTTTAAGTGTTCTGGTGCTTTATTTTTAATCACAAAATCAGGAAGCCTTCCACAGAGACATGGAAAAAAGCATTACGTTGAGTCACCAGTCTGATTCTGAAGACATGCTGTATTTTATTTACACAGGGGCATTTCAGTTCCTCTGAAAGAAGATCTGTTCATATATAGTTTACCTCAAAATCCCTGGCATTGCAATTTTGCTCTCAAGTACAGAATATACACAGTTGCTGTTTCTATAGCAAAGCAGTACTAAAGGCCAACAGTCTAAATATTAAATATTAAATATTGATTAAT